ATATCTGTCCATTTTCTGATGTCCTCTTCATTTTATGATGTGCTTTTTCAGAATGATGTAATTTTTGTTGTAGAGATTTTTTTCACTTCCTTAGTTAGGTTAATTCCTAGGTATTTAATGATGCTACTGTGAATGTATTGTTGGCCTAACTTCTCTTTTGGTGAATTCATGATTAGTGTACAAGACTGCTATTTATTTTTGTGTTTGTTTTGTATCCTGATACACTGCTGAAAGTGGTCATTATTTCTATGAATCTTTTAGTGGAATTTTTTGAGTTTTGTAAGTACAGAATCATGTCATGTTCAAGTAACTTCTTCCTTTCCTATACATATCCCTTTTATTTCTTTTGTTTGATTGCTACACAGAACAACGTATATCAAATGACATCATAAAAGAATTCTGCATCATACTACACCAGACAGTGTAGGCTGACAAATTCATCATGAAACTCCCACTTAATAGTGATATTTCAGCTAGTTATTTAAAAAACACCTGTAATGTCAACATAGAAGTGGGGGGAGAAATTCCAATGAAGAAAAAAAATCCTAAAATGCCTAGAATTATAGAGTTTAGAGCTCACCTATACCTTTAAATTAAATAGTTCAAAGAGCACAGAGAATTTATTTTGTTATCCCCATACAGCTTTGTCAAATATTAATTTATTGTCATATTTGCTTAGGTTCATTTTTTTTTTTTTACAATACCAACGGGCTCTGCCTTTTGCATGCTCTATCACTATCTTTGGTCCTCAGCAAAAGGAAATACTAATCTAAATACCAAGTTTATTACTATCCTGAATATTTAAAATGTTTATCACAGGGGCTGGGGATTTAGCTCAGCAGCATAAGCGCCTGCCTTACAAGCAGGCAGTCGTGAGTTCGATCCCTGGTACCGATAAAAACGAAAAAGACAAAAAAAAAAATGTTTATCACACATGGACATAACTAGTACTCTTTCATGTGTTTAAACTTATAAATGGCAACATACTTTATGTATCTTCACTTCTTCACTCCATATTATATTTTCAAAGATTTATGCGTGTCTCAGCTCTAGTTCACTTATCTACTTCTGAGTAATACTGAGGATCAAACCCAGGACCCCATGCATGCTATCTTGCTCATTTATTTTAATCAATATATGGTGTTCCACTTTGTAACCACACAATTGACTCATTTTGAGGTCGATGGAAATTTAGGTTACTTGGAATTATTTTTCTGTTGTAGACAATGTTTCAATGAACATGCATTTACATGTCTCCTTCTACATATAAGGGAGAGTTTTGGGAGGGAATATATAAGGAGGTGAAATTAGTAGATTGTAAAATAAGGGCATCTTTAACTTTTAGTAGATCCCATTAAGTTGACTTACATTGTGGTTATACCAATTTGCAGTTCTCCTAGGGGTGTATAAGAGTCCTCCTATCTTCTTACCTTTGCAGTTCTGATTAGATCTGCCAACATGGAATCAATATTTACTGTAAAGTGGCTATATGTGTAGGTGATGTTGAATTTGGGTATTACCATGAACTAGCCCTGCCCAAGCTCAAAGGTAATAGCAAATCTCCAGGAAGAACTGAGAAAAAGCAAAGAAGGAATGGCATAATTGTTGAGGACTAGATGCATACTTTATTTATGTCTGTATCCCCAACATTTAGTACACACTGAAACTCAATAATTAAGATCCAGAAGAAGTTAAATTAACTAGGGCCAACTATAAAGGCAGATTTGCTTTATTTTATCTTAAAGAGATTTAAAAAAAAACAAAACGATATAGGATTTCAAAACAAGCTGATAGGAAATTAGCAAAAATCACTATATTGCATATTGTTATCTTCAAAATAGTTGCTCAGATTACAAGATACAGGCATGCAAAACAGAGACTAATTTGCTTTCAGCTTTCAGCTCTTTTAGGCTTCAGTTCCCCCATCTATACATTATGGGAAAAGATAATTTAAGGAATGTGTGTGTGTGTGTGTGTGTGTGTGTGTGTGTGTGTGCTGGGGATCAAACTCAAGACCTGGCACTTGCCAGGCAAGCATTTATACCACTGAGCTATATTCTTGGCTAAGGAGCCATTCTAAAGAAAGGTTTTTCTGTGTCTTCATTTTTCTTTCTTGTTTTATTTTTAAAAAAAAATTTTTTGGCACTAGCATTTGAACCAAAGGCCTTTACATTGAGTTATATCTCCAGCTCCTCCCCCCGCCCCTTTTTTCTTTTGTGGCAGTATAGGGAACCGAATCCAGGACCTCACTATTTTCATTTTGAATATTTAAGAAATACGGCTTTTCTGTATTCCTGTAAGTTGGCCTTGAAGTTAGTTAAAAGGACAAAAGTCTGCTCACCGTTGCTCTGTATCTTCAGGCCTCGTTCAGGGGCCCTGACTCTGTTATTTTTATTTCAGTTACTCAAATTTATTTTCTTGCACTTTGTATTTAAATCTGTCACAGCTAATGTAATGGTTCCTCCTTGAATGTCCTCTCATCTCTAACTCGACGTGTCTAAATGTGAACTCACATTTATTCCCACATAGCTGCCCCTCAGGACTTCCACACTTCCACTGTAGGCACTCCCCCACATCCGAAATAAGCATTTTATTCAATTATATATCAAAGCGGTACTGTAAATACTAATTTAAATAATTCAGGCATATATTGAAACTACTAGCCCAGGGATTTCCAAAACATTATTCAAATTATCCACTTCTCCAATGATTTCAGTTTGGTGACCCACTGAAAAAATGCATTGTTAAAAACAACAACAAAAATAGGGTCTTGCTCTATAGTTCAGGCTGGTTTTGAACTCACTATGGAGCACAGGCTGGCCTTGAATACCGCCATGCCCAGCTTCACTGCTGGCATTTTAAAGAGCTGTGGTGTTACCAAAAGAGGAACGAGAAGGGGGCCAGAGAGGCTAATTAAAAGACTCACACCATGCAGCAGAAAACAGATTGCTTTTAGATTTGCAGGCATGCTGTTTTGGGTTTATGTGCAGTAACAGAAGAACTGTTCTTGAATGAAAGGATACAAGAGCCCTAAATATAGGCCTGAACAATGTTAGAGCATTATACTTTAGATACCATAAGTTCAAGTTCCTGTATACTGAGAGACACCAACTCCCCATACACAACTCCACACGTGATTAAAAAGTGATATTCACAGCTGGGCACAGAGGCACATGCCTGTAATTCCAGCACTCAGAAGGCTGAAGTAGGAGGACTGCGGGAAGTCTGAAGCCAGGCTGGGTTACACAGTAAGCTCAGGGCCACTCTGAACTATATAGTGAGATCCTTTAAGACAGGATCTCACTATATAGTTCACAACTTCCATATAGGAGCTTGTAAATCAAACACAAAGCATTTATATCCATTTGTAGATAAAATACAAAGTGGTAGGATACTTTTCAGGTGTTTCCTTCTTTTTGCTCCTTTCACTATGAGAACAAGTACTGCAGGAACACATGTTAAGACTCTTCTGATGGCGTCAGATGCTTAGTTGGAAAGCTCACACGACCAGATGGGTTCTAATTTAATACAAACCAGAGGACTAGATCCCAAGCTGAAGTTCTGGTTCTAATACCAAGGGATGCCTTGATCCAGATGGGCTTTCCCATGAGCTCATATCCGGCAAATGGATTGATTTTCTGGGTCCACTTGAGAAATGGGTTACTTTCTCATCCAACTTAGGTTGTGAGCAGTGGATATAAAATAATGGAAACTAGCTGGCATGGTGTTCCAATTATTTAACAAACCAGGTACTTCTAGTTTTTGTATATTTTGGTCAGAAAGTGCTAATTCAGTCTAAACTGAATCTATTAGTAGCTTGCTTTATACAGTTTTTTGGCGGGGAGGTCTCTCAAGGGATTAGTAGCAGCAGAGGATAAAGCTTCTAAAGAAAAGGACAGCAGGATAACACTGGGATACAGTGCATCATAACTTATTCTGGAAATGTAGTATTTGCATCTATATTTGTTTTGGGCCAAACTGGTCTAGCCCAATAGTGGCCTAATTCTGTACTTTAGAACTAAGATACAGGACAATTTCCCTTCCCTGGAGCATCTGAGGGGAATTCAAGGCAAGATGATACATGGTACAAACAGAACTGGAGAAACCCTATACTCAGCTCTATCGTAACTGATGAATAATCACAAGTTTTACCAAAAAGATTACTTAGCCACCCTTAATGTGTCTCTTGGCCAGTCTATAATCAGTCTACCTGTCACCGTTCAATATTTCACTGTCCATTTTCCACACAGCCTGCATCTTCAAGGATTGGCTGCCCCAAATCAGTCATTTACTGTGTAGGTCAAAGATGATCCCCTTGCAATCCTGGCTTCCCAAGACTATCAGAGATTCTTGTCTCATAACTCATTCACCTTGTCAGGATCTCCCAAAGCAATAGAGGGTAAAGTTATTTTGTGCACGGTTTTGTTGTTTATGGTGTCACACCTGATGATATGTTCTTATCAATTGTGGGCAAAGCAAGAACTTTCCTGTAGGAGGTACGAGACAATGTTTCCTGTCTTAGTCCTTTATGGCAGTGTAGGCTCAAGAATAACTGTGATGATGTGATTCTAAATACATTTTTTGGAGCTGCTTGTTGATCAAGATGCAGGAGTTGGGCTGGATGAGGACTGTATTATTATAAATTATGGTCTGAATGGCATTTCCTGGAACTGGATACTATGGTGGCCCTAAATTGGTTGTGGTTACAAAGCACTGAATCAAAGTTTAGACTACAATATAATGGTCAGATAATAATAGGTACTTATAATGCTCATATAGTTAACACTGGCCAGACTGGATTTGGCACATTGACCTCAATTCTTAGTTCCAGAGTTTAGAGAGATATTAACAATTCAAACCTCCCCCAAAAAGTTTGTCCAGATGAGATGTATAGAGATTGTAGTATGTGATAAAGGCTAAGGGACTTGGGAAAATGCAAATAACAGCAGATACAAGAGCAGACGATGGAATATAAACTTTATAATAAATTCAATACTGACCTCCAGGAAGACAAATCTACTGATAGGTTTCTCTTTTTCTTTTTTTGGCATTTAACACTCTTGATCCATTATCTTCTTCAGCTTCCCTCCCTTGCTTTTTTGATGCCATTTGTCCCAGTTCAGCTGATGGGAAGACTGCGTTAGCAGTGCAGGGAAATATACTCATGGAATCACCTGGGGAGGATAAAAAGGAGAGGAAGCAGGAGTATAAGGGAGAAGTCACTGACTGCAATACCTGTCTTCATACCTGTGAAGAGAGTGACATCCTTGTTAGGAAGAGGCCATCTGCAGGGCACCTCTGAGGAAGGTTCTGGTTGGTCAGTGGGGAGTCTCAAGGAAAGTGCACAGGGCAAGAAGCCTGTGTTCAGTTCCTGGCTAGGAGCAGAGAGACTTCTGTGTAAATACTGCAATGCACCCCGAAGGCATAGTTACTAGAGGTGTCAGCCAATCACAGTCCCCACAGCAGATGCTTCCCCAAACAGACTCCCGGGTTGTGCACACCTACCATGCTGGTCCCACATATCTCACTAGGGTTCCATCTGCCTGGATTTCTTTTCTGGATTCTCTTCCTCTACTCACACCCTCACTGTTGGGGTCTCTACAAGACCATTTTTGCCCAGTCTATACATTTTCCTTGTGCAAATTCTTCACAATCTCAAATATCATTATCACCAAGTATTGATATTCTGTATGTTCATTCAAGTCACTATTTTCTCTCATCTGGACTACAGCAATGATTTCCTAAATGTCCTCCCCTCGTTGCTCCATTTTACCACCCATCCATTCTCCATGCTGCAGATACTGGGATATCTCTAAAGAACAAGAAGATCATACTACTCTAGTGCTGAAAACCCATCAATAGTTTCCTTTTGCCCTGTAAAAGAATCCAAATTATTTCACATGATTTACATGCTCCTTCATAGACTTGCTCCTGCTTACTAATCCAGTTTCATCTGTTATCTATCCCAAACAGAACTACTTTTTGTTTGTTTGTTTGTTGGTTGGTTTTGGAATGTAACTCTTCTACCCTCTCATACTAGTTTATCCACTACTGGAACAAAATACTGTACTTCAGGCAAGATAACTTTATAAAGAAAAAAGCATTGATTTAGCTCCCCATATGGAGGTTAAAAGTTCAAATAGGACAGTGCTGGCTGTATCAAGGACTAGATGGCAAACAGTGGGGGTGGGCTCAGGAGGAACCAATCCTTTTGTTCTTTCTTTTTTTTTTTTTTTTTTTCTAATATTGGGAATCAAGCTCAGGGCCTTCCATATGGTAGGAAATGTTCTGCCAGTGAGCTACAACTGTAGCCCCAGCATACAGAGCTCAAAAAAGAATCTAAGGAGCTGGGATCCCACAATCTCTTTTGGGTACATTTCCAATGACCTAAGGGTCTCAGCAGGGTCTTCATTGTCTCTCATATTGCCTCCCTGGGAACTAAGCTTCCAGAACATGAGTCTTTGGGGATAAAAGACATCCAAACCATAATACAGTACTCAATTGGCTTTTGAGTCTCAGTATAGATTTTTCCCTGTTGTGTGAAGTTTTCCATAATTCACAAAGACCAGATTCAAAACCCTTGTAAGTGATCCAAGAAACTATGTGATACAGAGCAGGTGGAATCTTGACTATGAATTTGAAGAAGGCACTGATAGCTGCTAAGTAAAGGAGATACAATAAGAGTGATATCTTACATATCAGAACTTCTCTCAGGGAATATACTTCATGGATAGACTCTGATAAACAGGTTGGCATGGGTGACCTGGTGTGTGTGGAGGTGGGGTATTATAATGCATGGAGACCATCCCAAGCAAGGAAAAATTGTCCCACCCAACATGCTAATAAAACCTTCCTTGAGAAACACTAGGAAGTATGTAAATCAGAAAGCTGAGCTGAATTGCTGAGCGGAGGTTAATAGCTGACATGGGTGGAATCCCAGCTCCACCCATTCTCAGGCAGAGCTCCACCCTCCCTGTGAATTACAAGGTTTGTGTTTTGCAGTGTGCACGCTAGGTGAATGCTCTACCACTTAGCTACAGCCTCTGTCTCTGTAAATAAGTATGAAGTATCTGTTCTGAAAAATATTGGTTTAAAGTTTTAAAAAATCACATTGGTTTAAAAGAGGATCAATTATTTGCTCAAGGGACATGTAATACCTCCTCCTGGCTTTACTCTTCTGTTACCTATCTCACTGTAAAGACAGAGCTTGTTCTTATTCTCGAGTGCAGACCCAATTGCACCACTAGAATTTTACAGTGGTTTGGCACATGATAGATACAAAGTATATTTTTCTGAATGATAACTCCCACATCTAAAATCATCCCTGAGATCTTCTCTAAGTCCACAGATTTATCATTAATCTTACATTTCCAGGTGAGCATTACAAATTTACCAGGCACAAAAGCTGAGCATAGAGTTAATAGCCTCTCATCCCAGCAATGTGGGAGATTACAAAAAGACTGCAAGTTCAAGCCCAGCCTTAGCAACTTTAAATGACTTGGCAAGACCATGTCTCAAAATAAAGAGTTGGGGATATAGCTCTGGGCAAAGCCTTTGAGCTCAGAAAACACAACAAACAAAAATCACAGTTCTGCAGTTTATTTCAGTGCTAAAACCCTCCCCCTTCTTATAGCAAATGCTCAGATCATTCATGCAATGGTCTAAGCCTGAAGGTTGCCCTTTCTATCTTCCAGTTATCTCCAGGCTGTTCTGCTCTCAGTTCTTAGAACTCCTTGCCTTAATTTCAGGATACTTGATATATGTTATAAATTACATTTTCCTTCTCATTTTTGAGGCTACCATCATTTAATCCATTGGAAATCTCAGCTGATCTGAGACACAAACTCTTCTCCAGTGTTGTTAAAGGGTAAAACATAATCCTTCGCTGGTTTGATATTTAACCCTCTTAGATATAAAATAACATGTAAAATATTCTTAAGTATAATCAAAATAATAGTTTGTGAGATTTCTGTGGTGCATTTTCTCTTTGGCTTCTCATAACAGCCCTACTTTGAAATAATTTCCTAAGGTCAAGACAGAGATAAGATCTGAACCAGCTAGCCTGGTTCAGAGCAGTGCTAGACTAGAATTAGAGAAATCTGCAATGAGGGCCAATCTCCTGCTAGGTGTTATAACACATGGCAGAAAGAATGAAAGACATAAGGAAGGAAGGAAAGACAGAAGGAAAGAAGGAAAAAGAAAAAAGAAAGAAAAAGGAAGGAAGGAAAGAAAAAAGAAAGAGAAAGAAAAGGAGAGAAAGAGATACAATGGCAGTTCAGCAGTGATCTGGGATGACCAGTTGTTGTTCTCAAGGAACCAAAGGCCATGCTGTAGCCAGAACCCTGGCATTTTCTGAGGAGGGAATTATCCATGTCCCAGAGGGTGGTGATGATGTTAAGCTAATGAGGATCTTGCTCTGGAGTGTCTTTAGTCTTAATCTTAGTGGTTTTCTGTCTTACTAGGTTGGAGGAGATGCCCCCCCCCCCAATGGAATAATCAGAAGTCTCAAAAAGGTGATACCAAAAATCACTATACTCCATTCATCCCTTAGGGAAGTATGGAAAACCAGCCATTGTGACTTTGTGGTCCCCAACAGACTAGGCCATGTAACCTCCTGGAATGTTTTGCTGCTTACCCATGTGAAAACACAACCAATTTCCAGGCTCTTCACAAGGCAGTTCCTAAACTTTTAAAAAAGTATAACCTTTTATTACTTAAGGATATTTCAATTTTAAAAATAAATTTTACCAGCTGCCTTGTGGTAATAATTTCACAATGTATTATACATATATCAAAATACCACATTGTACATTGTTAATATATTTGATTTTTGTTAATTGTGCGTCAATAATGCTGGAGGGAAATAAAAATATAAAAATTTTAAAAAGATACCTAAAAAAAAATTAAAAAAAGATACTTCATTGTGAATCTCTTGCCTTCCCTACAATCTAGTACACACAATTAGCTGTTTTTACATGCCATATCATTTCACATACAGGTCTTACTGTCCTTCCTGTGGACAGACAGAGGTTGTAGTCTCTTTTGAGCTAAGCCTCGCTATGTATTCCTCTTCTGTAGCCTCTGGTATACTGGAAATTCGTTTCTGGTGAACGCACGTTGTGTTAAATAGGGAGGGCTGAACTCAGTAAGCCAAAGAAGTGGACCCAGTGAGTTATCAGATGAGATGCCTGAGGGTGACAGTGGTACAGGAAATCAAGGAGTCCCTTCACCGGAAACCATGAGGAGTATGCTAATGGAAGGATGGTATGGATATGCTGGCTATCAGGGGCTGATGCCACCCTCAGCCCTTTTGTTTCCTCTGTGTAATGCTTGCCTGGGTGGATGATTTAAGGGTAAGGACTGAGAGGACCTCCAGGAGCACATCATCTCTCCTTCTTAATCGGATGAACTCCAACACAGACTTCAACTCTTTTCTAGCATCATTCCTAAATTGTGCTCCTCCTCTATGCCTTTCAAATTGTTTTGTGAGTTTAGACACTGTGGCTTACCTGGCACTTGCCAGGTAGGCACTTAATCAGCTGAGCTAAATCCCAGGCCCAAAACTTTAAAACTTAAAAATACTCAGGGAGGCAGATTTTTGGCTTGACACAAGAGAACATTTTAATAGTATATTATATTTAAGCAGAGGATAGAGTAGCAGTTAAGAGTCTGGTTTTTGGCATTGTACTGCCTCTATTCAAAATTGAGCCTTCTGGGTGAACGTAAGTAGCTTAATCTGCCCATGCCCCTTAAAAGGCAAATGGTCTGCCACTGAGCTTCCTCCCACTGAACTGCCTTTTACTGAAGGTATTCAAGCAACAATAAACCCAGGAGAGTTACTATAGAGGCAATCCCTGAATTAAAAGATTGGATGACTTGTATTATAGAAAAGGCAAGTTTTTTCTCTGATGCAAACAAAGTATGATCATTAGTGTTATTTCTAAAGTGGGGGTAGGGAGGCAGATTTTAGCACTCTGGGAGACTGAGGCAGGTAACTCAGTGCAAAGCCTCAGGGTTTAATCTTTAGTACCACAAAACAAACATTTCCCTCCCTCCAAAAAAACCAGGGTTGGAATTAATTGCATTTGGTTTTATGCATATATCACAAAGAATGAAATATTGTATTTCTTGTAAGCAGTTAATTGTAAGTCCTTTTATTTATGATGCAATCCAAATAGAAAATCAGGTTCTTACATGAGTATCAGTTCCTTTTTTAAGGAGTTGCGTTGCACAGCCAAAATAGAACAAAACCGTAGACTGTTTCAGACCTACTGAAATGTCTTTTCCCTTTGAAAGAAGTCTATTAGTGATGCAAATACAAAGTTATCTTGCACAGATGATAATCCCAGCAAACAAAACACTGAAACCATTAGACCTTTCTTGTACTCCATCCAGTTTAGAGAATTTGGCTTTTAGGCATTAAAAAGTCAGAGAAACCAGCTTATCTGAACCCTGGGCTATTATTATCCACGTTCGGTACACTGAACAAACATTTTTCTAAGAGGCACAAAATGAAGGTGAGCCTACACTCTGGCGTCCCAAGTGTTTTCATGAGGCAAAGGAAGGGTCCTTTGCCATGGAATAATATTTGTAGTTGAGAGTTTTAATTCTTCAGATACTAGAGCCTTATCATAGATTTATCTAGATAAAATCCAATGATACACATTCCTGTGGCAGTAATTTAGATGATACGTTCATCTAAACTATGCCGGACAATGCTTTTCTATCCTTACATTGTCCTTAACAGGTTTCTCAGGAGCCACCAGCCATTAGGGAGCATCAGTAGGTACTATGGTGTTCCAGGAAATTAGGAAAACATTTCTAAAGCAAAATTCCAACTGGTATTCCCGCAGTGACTACCATCTACCTGATTAAAGCTTTTGGAAATGCCTAGTGGGCAGTTTTCGAGAATAGAAAATTAACCTTCCATTAACCCTTCACATGCTTTCTCGGACCAGTATTAACCTTTGGAGCCAGTGTCCACAAAGTTAGAATATCTTGTTGGAATCTGGGTTTTGAGCAGGGTGGAGCTTTCGCAGGGAAGGTCTCAGCTAAGGAGCTCACAGATCATCGCGTGTTCACCATTGAGCCGCATGTAGGGCCGTGCACCCTCCGCAATCTCGCCTTTGCAGGCGTACCCCACAGCATGCAGCCCCGCGCCCCCCCCCCCCCGGCTTGCTACCCTAGCTCTCTCAGAGAGGGCAGTCAGTCACTAAGTCGCTTTCCTTTGCCACCTCCCACGCCCTCCCCGCCGGACCGCGGGGGGTTGCTCAGAGGGCGCCCCCACTTCCCACGCTCTACCCACTCCACACACTTTCCTGGCTGCCCTCCGGGCCTGCTGCCTTCTGCGTCCAATTGCAAGGGCCCGAGTGTTTAGAATTAGAGCAAGCACGGTTGCCGTTTCTCGGTGCCTTCCTCACCGTGTTTGGGTGACCCTCGCTCCCCCAGCCCTAGGAAGAAGGCTGTGGCGTTCCGCTGTATCCTACTCTTAGCAAAAAAGTTTGGGACACTATCTTCTTGCAAGATAAGAGTGTGCTACCTACTTAGGACTACCATATTCCGCATGTCCGACTTTCGGCGTTAGGAGCCGCTTCCCGCCTGTCCCTGCCACAGACCCCGGGGCCACCAAAGCCTGCCCAGAGTCGTTCCGCGGCAGGTCTGGTCCGGCCAGGCGGCCCGAGAGCGCTCCCCCTACCGAGGCCCGGGATCGCGCCTGCGCAGTCGCACTGGCGCTGGGAAAGGCGGAGGGCGGGGGAGCTGGAGGGAGGGGAGGAGCGGCGGAAGCCATGTTGGAGTCTTCCCGCGAGCCAGGGGCGGCGGGCTCCCTCTGCTCCTTGTGGGTGTGACCCGGCTCGGCGCCGCGGCGAGCTTGGCAGCGGCGGGGGGCGGGGACGTTAGGCCGGTCGTCGTCGTCGTCGTCCGCCGCCGCGCGAGGGGAGCGGCGGCCGCAGTGGAGCGGGGCGATTGTGACCGCCGGGGGCGCAGGGGGCCGGCCGCGGCGCCCACTCTCCGTGTGGCCCCCTGAGCGCCCCCCCTCCCCTGCGCGGGAGGGAGGCGGGGGGCACCGGGGCCCGCCATGAACCCCGGCTTCGATCTGTCCCGCCGGAACCCGCAGGAGGACTTCGAGCTGATTCAGCGCATCGGCAGCGGCACCTATGGCGACGTCTATAAGGTAAAGGCAGGGGCCACCCGTCCCGGGCCGCAGGGTGCCGAGCGCCGGGGCCTGCCCCGAGTCCGCGCTCTGCCGCGGGCTGCGCTCCCGAGACCCAACGGAAGGCCAAAGGTTTAACCCGACCTCTCTGGGTCCTTACCTGGCCCGTGCTCTCGACGCGATTTTTGACCCCCTTGGCTTCCTTGCATTTCCAGGGAAGAGCTGCTCGAGAAGGGCACTGAGCTCAGCACCGTGCAGAGGACTGGACATTTGTTGCATTGGCAGGGTCAGTGCCACCAGTCGGACGGCAGGGGCTTGACGTTTGTCAAACCTGCGTGCTTCTCCCGGAGGACCTGGAATTGTGCGTTGTAGGTTGAGCTGCTGCTGTTGCCCAGCAGGCCTGCAGGTCCTGATTTCACTGGACAGCCTCCATCCACAGCCCCTCTGCTTTAATAGCCTGTGCTATCCGTCCACCTATCAGTTTCTTTCAATTTTTCAAGTGATTTTCTAAAGTAAAAGAGACCTGTCGTTAATGTATAATATAATATGAAGAAAGAGCAACTTTGTTTTGTCCTGTTCGAATTGTACTTACGGTAGGGTAATACCGTACCGTATTAACTTTTGTCAGTGACCCATAAGAACCGAACTGAATGCTTAAGAAAGGTACTGGTTTGCCAAGGTTAGAATTCAAAGTTTGTTAGTATAGCAAGCATTCTTGTTGTAGAGGGACCACTTCTAAATGTGGGAGAATAAATCACTCTTCCCTGGCCAGCTCAACTCTTGGCCTCGAAGAGACTGCCAAGAGAGGAAGATGATGCCAAATGTGGCAGCAGTCTTGATTTAGTTGCGTATCCTCTTTCTTGCTGGTAACTAAAGTTGGACTCTTGTTTCATGTAACACCTGAGGATGCACCAAGAAACTTAATTTGACATTAGAAAGTTCAGTCTAAACTTTTACTTTGCCTACGGTTTAAGGAAAAGGTTTTTACCCTTCAATGAAATGTGTAAGGTAACTTAGATATTTTATAAAGCACAGCTGCCATTGTGCACTTGTCTTGTTTTGTAAATAATTTGCTTTTCACCCTCACGTAGCTCATCAGTTTTCCCTGTAGACAATAACAGGTGTATTTAGCACACCTACAGCACATCAGCTACTGGGCATCTTAAGCATCCAAGTTGTAGCAGTAAAAGATGGATGTGGTCCCATATTTCACGTGTTTATATTTATGGACAAAAACAAGAGTAGACATAATTATTTTATTGCAGTTGTATTTTGTGCTGCAGAGGCAGGAGGACTGTGTGTGTATGGAGGGCTTATCACCTGTTAGCGGAGCTCTGAAAGATGACTAGGCATTCCCAGGGCGGTGGGCAGTGCAGGTGATGCCACACAGAGGGAGGCAGCATGATTCTGAGGCCAGAGAAGTCAGTAATAATTTGGAAGAAGGCCTCTATGTTCTGAGGAGCCAGAGAGAGGATGTCTCCAGATGTTGCAGGCCTCTTAAGTCTTGTGAGGAGATATGATCTCCCTTTAACATAATGGGGAGCCATTAGCATGATGGGGAGGCTTTGCAAGGGTCAAAGAAGCCACTGAACTTAAATTTAGATCTCTGAAAGCTCTCAGAACTGTAATATGAAGAATGAATCTGGGAGGTGGGGGTTAGGAGGTCATTGGGATAATCCTACCAAGAATAATGTTCTGGAGTTTGGTGATGACTGTGAAAATAGAAGTGGATGGCTCCAAGTAGCTAATGAACTGGTGGGGGAGGTCAGTTATATTCAGATGAAAAGTTAAGGAGAACTTTATGAATGTATGTCTTAGGTGGCAGATTGTACAATAGGTTCTTTACAGGAATGATTCCTCGTGTATTTAGTATACTTAAAGTGATTAAAAAGTAAAATTAAAAATAGACGTGAAATTTCCTAGGTACATCGAAGTGCAATAGAGCTATAATAAATTGATTAATCTTGTTACTCATTTAAAATCTTGGTAATATTTATAAAGTGCTCATTATTTGCTATGCATTTTAAAACAGTTTCCTACTCAGTTCTAACAACAACCCTATGTTATTAACTGAATTGTGTTGTTGAAGAAACTGAGGCACAGGAATGTTAAAGAAACTTGCTAATGTTGGTAGGTGGCAAAGCCAAAACGCAGTTGGCTGGATAACAGAAAGGTGAATTTCCAATGGAGAAACAGAGGCACACGTTTAGTCAGCGTTTTATTTATAACTGCACTCTGAGTTAGTGTGGATTTTTTAGTAGTGGTTGAAATCCCTAACTCTTGCCGCGCAGCTAGACCTCACTGTTTTTGTAGTTTGTCAAGTGGACATCAGATAATAGATGTTTAATCCCTTGCTGCCAGACTTCCAATACCAGGGAACCAGAGCCGAGAAACTCCTTGTGTTTCCGGCATCAGAGCCCCTTGCCTACTAAATAACCCAGAGCTTAAATTGTTTGTATTTTCTCATGTGTGTAATCACATTCATGCTGTAAGGATACATATTTTTCAAATTTGCTTTGTTTTGCTGTTTTAGATTTTCCTATTTATACAAATTGTGTCAGAGAGGAATGCATTTTGCTTTAAACAACATTTATGATTTACTTTTTAATTTGTTGGTCTTTAGGTGTTAAACATGGAACATGGAATTCAAAATTAAGTAAGTTGGACCTAATTATAGTAACTCTAGGGTCTAAGAGAGTTTTATTTTGAAAACTGTTCTGTATTTGTATTTTGAAAACTGTAAAGACATATTTAGTGTACTTGAGGTGGCATATTTTAAAGCTCAGAATCAGAATGTAGATGATCTGGGATTTATTAGCCATGTGACCTTGTAAAATCACTTAGCTTCTCAAATGTGTTTTGCTGTGCAGCTCTTCTTACTATCGTGGACCCTTCTGCTAAGTAAATGACTTGAGTTTTAACAGATAAGTTACCCTTTTGTGGGGACCAGTGCAAATTTGTGCAGTTCATCTGCACTGACTTAAAGTACTGGAAAATACAGTTAAAAAAAAAAAAAAGGAGCTATCATACCTTCCTCTTAAGTGCCCTGTAAACAGAAGCTTTATATGTCATGAGATCTCGCAGCAGGTCTTACCTAGGGACTAGAGGTTGACAATTTGGAGAGCTCTGTGGTTGGGTCTCAGGAGGCCCATCCAGTTGTCAGATATTAATAGGCTTAATGTTGTATGTTCTTGTGTTTTTCTGGAGAGATGGTATTCATTACATTCTCAAACAGGGCCATGATCCAAAAGAGTAACAAGTGACCTGTAGGTTTGTCATTTCAGAGAGTTCTCTAGGGGAAATTAGGTAGTTCTTTTACTAACGACATCATAGCATCAGCATCTAATATGATTTGCATATGCATTGTGCCAATCTTTGTTGGGCAGTTTTTCACCTTAACCGACCCTCTTCCTACGCTTACAGTTTTCATGTCCTGACATTTTTCTAGGCTTATTGCTAGAGATGTCTTATGTACTGTCCATGGCTTTTCTTAGCTCTCTGTCCAGCCTTGTACTTTCTCATGAATTGTAGCTCATTGTCTTTTGTTTGTTTGTTCGTTTTATGTCATTTTGGGACAGGATTTCACCATGCGGTTCAGGCTGGCCTTGAACTCCCTTTGTAGTCTGGGTGGCCTCAGACTCTGAGAGGAGCAGTCCCCTTACCTCAGCCTCCCAAGTGCTGGAATTAAACGCCTGGCTGGTGGTGTTTTTGCTGACCTTGTCACAGACCACAGCTTCCTCCAAATGTGTGCCATTCTTTTTGGCCAACTTTCCTCAGAGTCCCAAGTCTTGATAGTTTTTGAAGGCTTACGTCCTTGTAGTCATCTTTTACTTCTGGATTGAGTTGAGTAGGTATTTCTCACATTTTGCCACATTCGTTTTTCCGAAGTGTTATCTGAATGTTTCAGAGAATGCCATGCTAGGATTGTATTAAAGACTCAGAAGTCCTGTCTGTGGTAAAGAAACCTGTTAAGCTTTGCTTAACCCAGCAAACTCCAAACTTGATTATGGGATTCTTTTCCTTTGTTATACCTATTTCTTGTCTTTAGTGCTGGTGTCTTATAGAACATGCTGTGGTACAATGTTTTTCTTCATTTATCTACATATATTTGGAAACCATTTTATCTGAAGCCACAATGCAGCATTCATATGGTAGTGTGGTAGTAAATGTAAATAGATTTGGTGATCCTAAAATAAGAAACATTGAGTGTTAGGGTTAGGGTGTAGAAAATTCACTCATGTATATCTAGGGGGTTGTATAATGGCTTATTTGTAACTGCGTATTTCAAAGTGTTTTGATTAATGCCATCAAAGATCAAATTCTTCTACTATAGTTGAGATTTATAAGAACATTTCTGAAAAATGCAATTCTTAATTCCTACTTCTGATGAGGAATGTAAGACTTTGAGGATTTAAAAAAGATGGCCAAAGAAAACCATTACCTAGGCTTATGGTTATTTTTACTTTTATAGAGAATAACTTCTAGAGAGCCCACAGGAAATGGTTTTGAACTTCAGAAAGATCATTTGAAGTTGATTAAGATAGTTTCCCAACACTAGTAGCTATTGAGATGAAAAGGAACAATGGAACAGATCGTAGGATATTTTCTCCAGAAAACTTAAAATGCAAATAAAAGATTATCTAATTTTGATACATGTCTAATTCCCTAAATAAAAGAAGTACTTACCTCTAAGCCGTGTTCTCTGTATTTGTGAAAGCACATCTGATGCAGGATTTTTTTTTTTTTTCTTTTGGTACTGGGAATTGAACTCAGGACCTTGTGCTTGCCGGGAAGGTGCTATGATGCTGAGCCACATCCCCAGCCCCTGAAGCAGTATTTGTATTGAGAATGAATACCAGTAGTTAGTAAATTTCCTTGGGAGAGTACATTGAACAACCATCATACTTCAAACAGCTATAATATGAAA